AAGTGCTTCTTTGTGCTGTTTCCCTCACCCGGACCACGTGGGTTAGGTATTTCTGTATGGAAATAACCTGGTGATGCCCTGACCCATCTTGTTTTGGGAGATATCCTGGAGCAGGACAGGAGAACATGACCTGAGAGATGGTTTGGAGAAGCTGCCCACACAGGGGTGTAAACAGGTAAGGGAGTGCGTCTGGAAGAGCCAGGAGAGGAAAACAGGAAGAATAGGGCAAACCCAGTGTTTCTGTGTGCGTCTCCAAGAGCCCAAGCCCTCTCCTGCCTGCTCTTCTCCAAACCTGCATGAAGGATGGCAAAACACGTGTTGCACAGCATCCTCTTACATCCCCCAAGCCTGTGTCGGGACAAGGATCTGCCCCAGCCACAAGCCTTGGGCAGGATTTCTCATGGGCAAGGCCAAGGCTTCCTCCCATATTTTCCCATTACTGCCAAACCAGTGGATGGTGGGAAAAGCCCACGCTGGAGGTGCCTCCAGCTACAGTGCTCCAGCACGGCTAAGCCAGCCTGGTTTGGGCTGCCTGGGGTACTTACTTGGCAATGGCCTCGTCTCGGTCCCTGATGGCCTGCAGCAGCCGTTCGCACGTCTCCTTGTCCTCGGCTGCTCCGCGGAGCCGGTCCCGTTCCTCTTTCAGCGTCGTCATCTCCACGCTCAGCAGAGTGACCTGCCGGGCAGCACAGGGAGGCCGTAAAACACATGTTCACTTAGGTGAGCTCACTGCAGACAGGGGTATCCAGGACTGCTAGCCCAGCTCTGTGGGCTCGCCTACGTTTAACTCCCTAGCTCTAGTGCACACATGGCACTACACTACACTAGACTACACTGCACTGCTACCTGGAAACTCTTCCGACAGCTCCCTGCTCTGACTGCTGCTTGAATCCACAAGGAAATCTGTACATAGACAGCAAACAGTCAAGAAGGGCTCCTGACGTGGGTGTCCTGGGAGGACCTGCTGCCACCGTGCTCTTGGGCACGGGCAGAGGGCACATGGGCTTACTGTGTCCTCGAAGACGTGTTGTTGGCATTGGGGTTTTGATTGGTTTTGTTGGTATTTCAGGTAGCTGATGGCCTGTCCAGCAGGAGCAATGGGCTGGGCTGTGGGTGCATGATGCAACCAGTATCATTAAGGGAGAGCCTGTAGGAAGGTGCGCAGGAGTCTGGGCACCACAGAGAGAGGAGGATCCTGCCACAGAGCATCTTGACCAGGACAGATGCTCAGATCCTCTGAGGTGTTGTTTGTGGTGGCTTTGTCTCTGACAGGATTTTGCCATTAGGAAGGACCAGCTCCAAGGCTGATCCCTATCTGCTGCTAATTACTCACTCACTGCTGCTTCTGCAGTGAGTAGCACGGATTTCCTGTCATCCTAAATGCCTAGCCATCACTACTAGGGATGCTTAATGACTCCTTTTGCTGCTGCAGGAAGAGCCTACTTTGATCCAGTGGCTGGATCATGCAGTTAACCTTCAGCTGAACCAGGTAGGTGGTGCAGAAGCATCAGTTGTGTCAAAGTCATGAACCCTCCTGAGCCTGTGGACTGGCTATCTTGGAAACTGGCCACTCAGGTCCATGCTTGGAGACCAGATCTGAGCTATTTTAGATCTAGGATGGGATTAAGCATCCCTGAGTTGGTGTGTAGGCAGGGTTAAGAAACTCTTTTCCATTTTGGCATGTGGGTGGAAACTTCTGTAGCCTCTACATGAGGACGTTAGACCCAGTTTGTGCTGATTTTTTTTGACAGGGATGAGTTATCTCTCCTTTTCTCTGAAAGTGTGTGGAGAAAAGGCCATACAGGAGCACTGTATGCACAGGCCACCAAGAGCGTTCGTCTTGTTTATTGCTTCAGTACAACAGGGTGCTATGTGAGCAGCTGAGCCAAAGACTGTGTCTGCTGGCCACCTCCAGATCTCCTACAGCATTTGGAGAGCTTCTTCCACAGACACAGGTATTGCAGAGCCTTTCCTTGCTTTTCTGGCTCTGTTTCCAAAGAAGATGCTACTGCCAACTTCAGTGCAGATGTAGTTCCATTGGTGGCTTTGGGCATGGTGCTGTTTTCAGAGCTGGATCATTGTTGCTGTTGTGTTTGCATTAGACTGTCCCTGCTGTCTCGAGGGCTGCTGCCTGGGACCAGGTTGTCCCCTGTTAGAATTCTGAGTGTGCATCTACTGAGGATCTCATGGCGCTGTTCTGAGACGTGCCCAAAGTGGGATTAGCTCCAAGACAGGACAGTCCTGGTTTGTCCGTTCAGCAGCTGCCTCTCAGTTCCACGAGAGCTTAGTGCAAGTGAGATGGATCAGGCTGGATGCCCATGCATTTCCAGTCCCCCATATCAAGCAGCCTTGTACTTCAGAGTCTTCTGCTTCATAGAGTTTAAACGAGATATAGACTGGATCCAAAAGCAGGCTGAGGGTAAGGTTTAAAGGAAATTTGTCTGCTTTAGATGTCAGGGATGGGATACTGGATATTTTCAAAAGAAACTCTGATCCTACATTCAGGAAGCCCCAGCATTTCTGCTGTGGGCTTAAAGACGCATATGACCTTTACTGTTGTTTGACTGAATCCTGCTGGCAATTTATCTTGTTGAGCTCATCTGCAGAAAGCACATTTTGGGAGATGAGCGTGGGTGTTACAAGACCCCCTGTAAAATGCGGGAATTGCTAACCTGGCTGTGAAGGCGCTGCAGCTCCTCCAAACTCTGCCTCAGTTTCCCCCGCTCTCCCTCCATTAATTCCCTCAGGGCTCGCGAGTCCTCACTTGTTCGCCTGATCTGTTCTTCTAAGGTGTCGTCATCGCTTCGCCGGGAACTCTGAGAGCAAGACAAAAACCTCCTGCTCACGTTTGGCTTTAAAAAACACAGTTGTATTAATTTGACTCTGGCTTGGGGGAGCACAAAACAAATTAGCAGGACATTCACTTTCCTGTTAAGTTTTGGTTTTAAAGCAAGTGTCCCCAGGTACTGCCACAATAGAAATGTGCTCAATCAAGGACAGTTCTTCTAAACACGATAACAACAGCAAGCAAACAAGTTCTCCCCTTGCTGAGGTTGGTAATGCATGGCTAAGATTGCCATGATTGTAGACTTTTTGCAGGACTCTTGTTTTCCTTTAACAAATACAACTTAATCCCCATGCTCTACCTTTTTATCAGCTGCTGCCAATGCTCTGATGGAAAGCAGAAGTGTTCCCCATGTGCCTGCGGTGCCAGGGTCCAAGCACGACCTCTGAGATAAGTCACACTGGGAACATGCTCAAAAGGTGGATGGTGGAAATAGGCCTGATTTTGAGCCATCACAAAAGGTCAGACGTTTTCTCTTAATTCTGCAGTCTTGAGGATGCTGGACAGTCCGCCAAGTCTTCCCTCCTGCCCTGGCTCAGCAGAGCTCTGCTGTCTGCTCGCTGGCAGCCCCGGGGTGCTAGATCCCAGAGCGGACACCGCCGCGCATCCCAGACCCTTCCCCTGCAGTAGGGTCACATCTGGTGACTCTTGCAGAAACAGCTGTACCCAACCTTAGCTCACAGTGGCAGAACCTACCCATGTAGCGGTCACAAGGGTTTTGTGAAACTACTTCTGAGAAAAAAAAAAATTCCTAAGAAAATCATATCTAGAATAGCTGCACTGTGATTTGTAAGAACATCTGCATACTTCCAGGTGGAAACTCTGACTTACTGCAAACCTTGAGGAAAAACTACGTCCATTACTTCCCAGCACGACTGCCAGACCCTAGAGGGTTTCATGCATGTGTAACACTGAAAGCTTTGGCAGTCTGACCACTGCCTGCCAATATCCCATGAGCCAGTCTGGCTCTTTGCTGACTGGTTGAGACACATGAAGCAGGTTGTGTGTCATGATATCCCACCTTTTGAGCCATGGAGGTAGTCTGAGAGACCCAGGACTTCAGGATGCAGCAGGAGCCCTCCCTGGCAATGTCCATCACTGGGCAAAGGGGCATGCACGACAACCTCTCCCCGTGTCGAGCCACTTACCGTGGAGTCTGCCCCATCCAGCACGTTTTGTATCAGTCTTTTCAGCTCACTGAGAGCTGCACGTAGGCTGCCAGCTGGGACATCTTTGGCTGATGAGGTTTCTGAAGACTCGTCCATGGAAGAGTCTGTGGAGACCGCAGAGTCCGCGCTGTCGTTCCCGCGGAGGTGGGAGCAGAGGTATCGCACTTGGCAATAAGCTTCCCAGAGTTGCAACCTTAGCTGCAACGAGAGAGCCTGACGTTAGCCCACGACGTCAAGGCCATAGGGAGTCTTCTTCCACGTCGTAACGATGCATGTGATTGCTGAAGCATGCCAGTATTCATCTAGCTTACGTTGCTGACTTGGAAATGGATGCAGAGACTTTCATAAGGTCAAAAGAGTGTTTCTATTGGAGCTGGGACTGACCCTTCAACTCCAAAGCCAATGTGTTAAGCTGTTTCTAAGGTATCTAGGGGACCTTTCTTGCCCTGCAGACGTGCTGCTGCTGTGTCCTGTATGCTTAGGGGAATGTGTAGGCAGTGGTGTTGCACAGAAAACAAATGTTGGTGTGACTAAGGCATGGGTTACCCTGCTGCCATTTCCAGCTTTGCAGATGCAGTGGTCAGAGTGTCCGGTTTGCATAACTCTGCGCGCCCCTTTTGAGGGTGAGGTGTGGGAAGACCAACATGCATGTCCTCCAGGGCCCAGACAAAGAGGTTCGGGTGTTACTCCAGCTCACAGGAGTGTTAATACCTGTTCCCGTTCTTGCTCCAGCTCCTCTGCCTCCATGCTCTGCTCAATCTCGGAAAGCAGGGATGTGCTGGTTGTGTTGAAGTTCTGGAGACTTCGCTCCTCACTGAGCTCCTCGACCTTCCCCTGCAGCTGCCGGTAGGACAGCCGCACCTCCTGGAGCTCCAGCTGGCTCTGGTGCAGCTTCCAGAAGAAACCGAGCAATCCACCAAAGAGGCAGAAGAAAAAATGAATGTTAGTGGAGGGAATACAGACTGGAGGATCTCTGCTTGTGTAGGACTGAATGGAAGGAATGGGTGGCAGGTGGCACTGCAGAGGGTTTCCAGCTGAGAGAAAGTAAGAGTAGTAGGCCAAGGTTGCTATTTATTTATTTTTAAGAAAAGGCCTACTGATGGTAGTCTTGATTGCTGAAACTGTGGACTCAGGTAAATTTGCTAAAACTAATACAGAAGGAATTGAATTCAAAAAGAAAAGTGATATCTGCACAATTGCTTCAAAATATACAGATATGCAAGTATATACATACACCCACATGTATACGTGAATTCTGATCAGCTAAATCCTAACGCCCAATGTTTGGATGTCAAAATTCCCAAACCCACATTTCACTGTTTTGAAATCTGAGTTACTTGAGTGCTTGAAAACACCCAAGATCCAGCAGGGACACTGATTAATTTTAGAGGTTATCTGTGGTCAGAGGAATGTGGAATTCTGAAAGCAGCAAACAATAATTTGTGGCTTTATAACCACTTAACACCAGGGCAAGCACATTCAGATTCAGTGCCTCTCTATGGAAGCAGGCAGAGCTACACAGAGCAGGATGAACCTGCAGAGTTCAGAAGCTGTAAAATCCTGTTCTCCACTGAGACGCCCGACAACACTGGTGCCTAAGCCTTTTCCCTGCAGAATGGTGTTTAGTGAGGCATGGCTGTGAACCCCATACAGCTCACGGGTGCCCCATCGACCAGGAACAGCTCTGAGGTTGGTTAATGCCTTCTGGACTAGCACTGCCTGATGAAGCCCCTTCTGGAGCCAGTGCTACCACTGAAATAAGAATTAAATTAGATGAACTGCAAGCAGTTTTCTGCTTCCTTTTATGTGTTTCTTTCTTTTCCTGCTTTGCTCTGTTCTCCTACCCAGCTCCCTCTTGTCTTTCAAGATACCCCATGGTGGTTCCTGCTGTTCATCCCTAGGGGCAGCACCGGGATCTTGCTCTCTCCTGTGCTTTCATGAGCCGTTTGACTCTTCCAGTTGTTCTGTCTCCAAATTCACTGACTATCCTCCTGGTCGGGCTGACCCCAAACCTGGTTTTTCTTCCCCGGTGGCAGCACTCCTCACCTGCAGGTCCTTGTCATGGCTTTGCCTCTCCAGCACCAGCACACGGTCCTGCAGCTCCTCCACGGTGCCCTGCAGCAGGTCGTTCTCCTCCATCATGGCACTGAGGCGATGCTCCAGCTCCCGCTTTCGGTCCGTCAGCATTTTGATCTGCGGAAGAAGGAGAGTCAGGGTGGCAGTCGCGCTCGCTGGGGAGCAGAGCAGAGGAAAGCACCTTCCCATGAGAGGAATGAAGCAGAGAGACAAGCGGATGGGCGTACGTGTTCTGTACCTGTGTCGGGGAGAAACGGCATCTCCGTGTGTGGCTTAAAGCTCGGGAGGAGCCCAAGGAGGTTCCTCCTTCCTCAGGGCGAGGGCAGGGCCAGGGCTGCGGTGACACCGTCTGGGACAGTCCAGAGACCATGGGAGGCCGGGGGGAGCTCTGGGCTGCCCAAGGGGATTAGGTGACCCCAGCCCTGCCCTGGATTCCCATGACTCGGTGTCCCCGCTCCCCACGTGGCTCTTAATGGTGGTGCCTTTACCAGGGAAAGTCCCACTGGGGACTTGTCTTTCTTCCTGCAAAGCTCCTTTCTGTGCCGGCGTTATTTTTAGCCTCCCAGGGATGAGTTGTCTTTAAAACTGGTTCAGTCCTTTTAATTGCCAAGGACTGCAGTCTCAGGCGGGGGGACAGCATGCCCGGTGGCACTGCCGCGCTGCACCCCCGGTAGTGGTGAGGGGTGAATGGCACCCGCCAAGGTCATCACTGCATCCCCCAAGGCAGAGGGGCCCTGTCCCAGACCAGTGAAAGCCCTTCGGGCCTTTCCTTCCTCACTCAGCACCTTCCTCATTCTCTGCCTCTTTGGGGTCTTGCCCCTTTGCTGCTTCCTGGGCTGCTTCCCTGAGCTCCAATAGTCCAGGACATCACTGGGAAAGTCTCTTCAAATCGCCTTTAAGGGCCCTGCTCAACCTTTCACTTCTCTTTGCCCACTTTTCTTGCCCTGTGACTCTTTTGTTGGACCCTGGCTCAGATCTTCCTTGCAGACCCTCAGTACTGCATCCAGCTCTGCCCCAGCTGCCTTATCCACTTCATCTCTGCAGACCGACGTCTCTCCTGAGGGTGAAAGAACCTCACGATTGCCCAGGGGGTGAAATCTTTCTCTAGCTGAAGGAGTATTTGCCAAGTACATAGACTTGCTCGCTGTGCTTGCAAAGGCTGCTGCACACACTCAGAAGCATTCTTGGGTGACTAATGGCTTCTGAGATGTCTCTTCCCACCACCATCATGATTTGCGTGGGCTGGAGAGAAGGGGTGCCAGAAAGTAGAAGCATAAAATAGAGATGCATTGCACTGAGAGTTAGGGTTTGCTGCCAAAGCCGGTAGCGAGCGCCTGTGAATGACTGTGTCAGAGAAAGCCACCGCTCTCCCGTGGGGGCCAGAAGGACACGAGGGGAAGGTGATCTGCGCAGCGCGAGATGGGGGATCTGGTGGGCCAAGGCATGCATGGTGATGGTGACCCCCACACGAGCAAAGCCCGTCCCAGCCGTACTTACTTCGAGGACCTGCTGCTCCAAGGGGAGGGGAAGAGAAGGCGAGGGGACCAGTGGGGAGCAGGTGGGGAGAGGGAGAGAAGAAATGGAGAGATTTTTAGGAGAAACAAACAAACAAACAAACAAAATTCTTCCCGATAGCTTAGAAGGCAGCAGGGCTGCACAGCTGCACATCTTTCACTCCACCAGTTCCTGCCCAAGAGGTCCCCATCAATTCCCTGGCAGGGATGGGAGGAGGAAGGATGCTGATATCGGCCTTGCTGATGTAGGGAGCTTGAGCAGCTCTGCAGGGTCCCTTGGGCACAGCGGGCTCCAGCTGTGGCAGCACAAGCTCCACACACTATTTTGGGGGGGACAAGCAGGATTGACCCGTAGCTCTGTTGCACACAAGGGACAGGAGCAGAGAGGAAAGGAGAGCAAGAGACGAGGAGATGGGCAACACATCCTGCTCCAGCTTTGCTGGGTTGGTGCACCCAGGTGCTCAGCGCTGCTGGGGAGGGGGCTGAGCCCCGGGAGCGGAGCACGGCCACTCACCTCGGCCTGGAGGCTCTCGAGCCGCACGATGTGCTGGCTGCTCGACGAGCTCTTCTCGCGGAAATCCTCCCGCAGCGTGTGCACCTGCAGCGAGAGCTGCCGCTCCACCTCCGACGCCTGCAAGGAGACACGGGGCTCATGTTAGCCCAGAGGCTACCAACACCTCCCACCCACGGGAGGATGCTCTGCCAAGGCGGAAGGAAACCTGGGAACAACAGGGTGGGAAGCTCAGAAGCCTGTAGAGCTGGAGAAAAGCTCATGCTGGCCAGGCACTGAGCACAGCAGCTGGATAGACAAGGTGGCTTCGTCCTTACAGACAGGGCAGCTGAGGGGACATGCATCTTGGAGGACACGAGCTGCAGGCAGCCTCCATAAACGGCAGCTTAGACACATTAACTGCTCTCCAGGCAGCTTTTTTTCTGATTTTTACATGGTGAACATGCTTGTTTAGGCTTGTAAGAGAACATAAGGTTTTTTTTTTTTTTTTTTTTTAATGACAAATCCCTTATGAGATGGCACAAATGGATGGGTTTCTGCTTAATTAGCCTCCTTCAGGTTCCACTATACTTAGGCACAGCATTCTTGTGGAATGAGAACTCATTTCCAGCAATAAAAAATGATCTTGTCTACTAATTGATTTTTACTTCCCCTCCTATCCTGGGATATAGCTACTGTTTGCCTCTTCTTTCAAACCACACATCAGGGGCCTTTGCATATCCCTCCTCCTTCATCTATTTATTTATTTATTAAAGCTTCCTTGCACAAGCCAAGGACACAGCACTATAGGAGGGGCATGGTTATTTTTCTCCCTGCAATCAGCTACAGCATTCCAAGCCTCCTGAGCAGCTATTAATTAAAGAATGGTGACATTAATTAAAGTGACATTAAGAAAGATGGATGAGTTGTGCTTTTTGTGAATGATTCACTCTCTTTTTGTAAAGAAACATCTTCAAGCTGAAATATCCTAGAGGAGCTATCAAGGATGAAAAAGCACCGGATGAAAAGCACCAAAGGGCTTTGCCTTCAAGCTGCTGACCACACTCCCAAAGACTGCCAGTAGTACCCACTGATATGACACATCCATATTTGATGCATAAGTGTGTAACATCATTTATATTCTAGACCTCTGATAATATACTGAGTACAAATATATCATATAGCAGTAAGAAACATGAGAATTAGTGGTGTGGCAATTCTGTATCTAGACCACTAGACCTGGTCTCTGTGCTCAGACTGGAGCAGGTGAAGGGAAGGTCTGAAAGGGAGACCCAGAGCATAGAAAGCCTGCTATGAGAAAGGTATGTTTAATCTCATGCACGGCATGTTGAGAGAGAGAAAGAGCGCTCCCTATAAATACATCAAGGATAAGCACGCAGGAGGAGGAAGCGCTATTTAAGCAGAAGCATAATTTTGGCAGAAGAACTGATGTGAATAAGCTGGCTGAGAACATACTGAGGCTGGAAATGGGAAGACTTCTGAGTTTCCAAGCAGCTGCAGTAGGCTTTCTCCTCCTCAACCATTATGGTAGGAGGAATGGTGGCAAAAATGATTTTGTGATGGCAGGGGGTACTTTTTCAGTCTCCATCAGAGGGCTGCTTATGACAGTAGGGAAATGAATTCACCTCAGAGGTCCTTTCCAGTGCTGTACTGCTCACAGGACTGCAAGGTTTGTACTCACCAGCTTTCTATCATCATTTGAGATTTATCAACTTACTACTCAGCTTTTACACTCACACATTGTATTCCCATGGTTATAGCCCACATGAAGGGAAGAAAGGGCTCCCTTATGGCTAGTGTTAAGAGCACTAATGCAGATGGTGTGAGTTACCGTGTCCTGTCAGCTTAAACCATTCATATCCTATTTCATGCAATAGGGAAGAGTAAAAATAATGCTGTCTTTAGACTCAGAGTGCAGAATATACCATCCTTGACCAACTGCCAACAGAAATAAAGAGGAATTTCTACATCATGCGTTTCACTCCGTAGCAGAATGATGAAAAGCCCTCATCTGCTTTTTCTAGATAGAGAAACGGCTGATGCATTACTCTCCACTTTTGCAAAGACTGCACTTTTCATGGTTATAGGACAAAATCATCTGGGCATGACTTTGGACATGGAAACCCCCTTTCAGTGTAGCAGGGTTTTCGTACTACGTTTGCTTCGGAGCACACTCATATTGCTGCGAAATTACCCTTTTCAACTGTTTGTAAAGTCTAGATTTTTGTGTAAATTTGCATTACTTTATGGAAAGACACCTTGACAGCATCCAATATTCCCCTTGTTTTGGGACATGTTTTTCAGTATGGTGGTTACTTAGGTTCTCTGCACTGCTATAAGTAGTGCATGTGTGCACATGTATTTCGAAGCGTGAGCCCACTATAGACTACTTATAACATGCTCTTTTCTTTAGTATCTTCAGAAAAGCGACCCTTCTGGCTACATTTTCGCTTTATTGCTCAAGGAAGCTATGGCTTTCTAGTCTGTTGAACTGAAGCAAGCTTCTTCTGCATCAGCCAGTCTAGCTCTACTCTTGTTATGCAAACTGTAGTGTTTTCCTAAACATTAAAAGCTAAAACCTTTTGTCGTTATGTCAGTCACTGAGCAACACATTGATTTTGCTAGAGAAAGGTGGTATTGTTTTTGGAAAGGCAGACATATATCGCATCACAGCACTTCTCTCTAATTAAGAAGGGATTGATTTCCTGGGTATAGGCAAATCAGCCAACACAGTCACCAGGCAGTTTGAAACATACCTCTAAAACTGTAGACATCAATTCAGAGTTAGATAGATTAAAGCAGCTGTTGAGATGTGTTTTCTGGCCTTCAAGAAAGATTTCGCTGAGATATGGGCAACATGAGAAGGAAGAGCAGGAAGATGTGTTGCGCTCTACGATAATTAAGGGCTGCTTCTTCAGCATAACCCTAATAAATTTCTCTAATAATTCATTCTGACGTGCCAAAACACACAAATCTGGGTGGCTATTTGGCAAAAAAATGTGGCTTACCGGTTACAATAGCTCCATGGGGTTTAATGACTGGAATACATGAGATAAACCAAAGGGTTGATCCTGGTATGGAGAGATGCTCATTGTAATGCTGGACTGTGAGAAATTTAAGGCCTGTAGTTTGGTTTCATTCAAAAAAAAAAAACCTCTTCTGGGGAAGATCTACTAAATAAAACTAACTGCATGGAAAACATCACATTATAAAATCATGTCAAAAAGAGAATGGAAAAAATCTTACGGATGGAAACTAGCTGGGCAAAGAAACCAGTGTTACCATATTATATGCTTTTACAAACAAGACAGTACAAATTAGCAAGGGATATTCAAGATTTACTTGGCTAAAATAGCTAAGAAAGGAAAGAGACCTCCTAATTAGTGCTAAATTTGTAACACCCAGGAGAGTCTGCTCCCCTTTTTATTAATTTGCTAATAGCTGAGCTGAAGGGAGTCCCCATTCCCTGTGTGGTACCATTAACACTTTGCAGCACTAATCACTGCCTCCCTCAGCTTCAGGGTCCTCAATTCCCAGCCCTTCTCAGTGAGGATGCTAGAATAATGTCTTTGGATGCTGAAAAGCAAGCGCAGGGGGAAACTACAAACATTTTGCACAGGAATAATAAATAAAAAAGTTCATCCAGCATTTTTTGAGGCAGAGTCACTTCGAGTCTTCCCAGAAGTTTGTCACCTTGAAGACGAAGGGAAGAGTTGTGCTGGGAGCAGGGATGCACAGGAGCTGCAGGAAGCCTTTTGGCTAATCAACCTATGCCAAGAAAGTGGCACTTACTTCCTCACACAGGTTTCCTTCTGCTCGGGAGCCCCTCTGCAAGCTGCTGTCCAGCTACCAGCCCACCGCCTGTTACCTCCTGGTTTGCAACAGAGCAAGGAGACCGAGCGGCCGAGGGGCTGCAACTGCCCAGGAAGCTCATAGGATGTTAGTGATGGAGAAGTCTCATGGCTGCAGCATTAAACCTACTTGGAGAGGACTTCTTGTGGCACATCCTGCCAAGATTTACACTTTTTGTTCCCTTTACAGGGACTTGGTGAAAATGAAAATGCTTTGCCCCCAGTTCCTCCTCCCTTCTCTTCAGTTTTCCCTTTTGCAGGGAAAATAGGAAATGCACACTGTGTCCTTTAACCAGAACTACTTGACTCTGTATTTATCAGAGTTTTGAAATAAACCCAGAGTGTAAGATGGTTGAATGGTGAAGGATTGGAACAGGCTGCCCAGGGAAGTGGTGGGGTCACTGACCCTGGCAGTGTTGAAGAAACATGTAGACACTTAGGGACATGATTTAGCAGGCTCGGTGGTGATGCCTGTCCATATGGCTGGACTTGATGATCTTGAAGATCTTTTCCAACCATAATGACTCTGTGGTTTCCTCCCAGCACATCCCAGTGGCACAGCAAGCTCTCAGGGCAGCAATGAGTCAAGGCACCTTCAGACCAGAGGCCTGACACCTGAGAGGCATCAGGGAGGAGGGTATAAAAGAGAACAGGTAGCAGTTGGGGGGGCTTTTTTTTGGTTGGGGCTGGGCTTGGTTGCTTTGGGGAAGGTGGCCTGAACCTGTGAGCATGGCTCAACCTGAAGATGGATTGTGTGAAGAAGTGATAGTGATGGCTGGTTTTGGTGGATTTCCATGGTTCTGTGATGGTGAGCTGGAGTGTTGGAGATTGCTGCTGAGGTGAAGTACTGCTCTTTTATTTTATTTCCAGATGTCCTTGAAAAATACTGACATAAAAAATACTGATAGTTAACTTTTCTTGACTCCTTAAGCAAAGCATGAAAGAGGATAGTCAGGGAATTTTTGCCTATGTAATAGCCCCTCTTGCCCTCTTTTTTCTTTATTTCTAGAAAAGCTAGTTGATATGAGGGGACCTGATTGAACAGCAAACAACTGACTGCCTTGACAAAGAGGTCAAGGAGAAGAAACCATGTTGGTTGTCCTCATCTTGATTGTCATCAAGTGATAACTGCTTAGCTGAGGCTAAATGCATTAGGGTGAATCACCCTGCAGGATATGGAGCTGTGCTGTTTGGTGCAGAAGCAAGGATGCTTGAGGGTGCCCTATGGCACATCTCTGGCTGTAGGGTTTTCTAGCAGTGTTATTTGCA